CTCTCCTCCTCCTCCTCTTCCTCCTCCTCCTCCTCCCCCTCCTCTTCCCTCCTCCTCCTCCTCCTCCTCCTCCTCCTCCTCCTCCTCCTCCTCCTCCTCCTCCGCATCGAAGAGGAAGAACAACGATATAAACATACACTTTTGGCGCTCCGTGCGGATCTCTTGAATCGGTGCTGGGTCTTCCTGGCGGCCGGCGCCACCCCGGACGCGCTCTGCGCGCCAAGGAGGGAGGTCCAGCGCAGATCTAAGACATCCGCGCGGACATGTGAAACGTTCGGTTTATGTGGGCTTTTTTTTTAGGTTCGCTGGGCGCGAGCTTCCTCGGCACCCGGTGCAGCTCCAGGGTCGCGGTCCCGAAGGAGCGGTGGGTGGACGTCATCTTCTTGTACGACGCTGGCAAGCAAGAGCTCCACATCTTCCAGGAGGGAAAGCCGGTGCACAATTGCTCTCGGATGGATCCGTTCGAGGGCAAGACAACCGCCATCTGGCTGGGGAGGTCTGCGCCAGACGACAAGGCTTAAGTCGGGCCTGTCCCTCTACAGGGGGAGTATTCAGAAATAGTAAAAAAATAGTCTGGGGACTAGTTTTGTTGTATTTTGGGGCATTTTTTGATGATGTTTTGAGACTTTTTTATTTTTCGTCCAAAATCCCCCTGTAGGGGGACATGCCCGACCTAAGACAAGGCCGGCGTGGCACCATGGCGTGGCGCCTTCCGCAGCGTGGAGATCAGCGAGGGGCTGCCCACGCCCGTGGGCCGGGCCGGCGGTGCAGGGCCCTCCCCGGCTGGCGCGGCGCTGGGCGAGCCTGCCGCCAGCGAGCCGCCAGAGGGTGCCGAGGACACCGTGGTGCCGTTGCCCTCTGCGCACGTCGGGCCGTCCACCAGCGAGCCGCCAGAGGGCACAGTGGCGTCGCGGGATCTCACGACCGTCGGGCCGTCCACCAGCGAGCCGCCAAGGGGTACCGTGATGTCGCGGCCCTCTGCGACCGTCGGGCCGTCCACCAGCGAGCCGCCAAAGGGCACAGTGGTATCACGGGATTTCACAACCGTCGGGCCGTCCACCAGTGAGCCACCAACGTCTAGGACATCAACGAGCTCTGCGGTCCTCACACCGTCCACGAAGCACCTGCAGGCGACCGTGGGCCCCACCAGTGCTCAGTCAAGCTCGAGCTCATCGGAAAGGTCGTCTTCTTCCTCGAGTGCAAGCACTACCGCGTCGACTGCAGCAACAAAGGCCACGGCCACGACCATGGCAAAGACCACGGCTGAGACCAAGGCCCAGACCACGACCACGACCATGGCCACGACCAAGGCCTCGACCGTGGCCACGATCAAGGCCCAGACCGAGACCACCATAGCCACGACCACGGCTCCGACCGAGGCCACGACCGCAGAGGCAACTCGGCCAACGACCGCCGCCGTCGAGACCTCCAAGGCCCCGACCGAGGCCACGACCGAGTCCACCACAGCCATGACCAAGGCCACGACCGCGGCCACGACCGCAGAGGTAACTCAGCCCACGACCGCCGCCATCGAGTCCAGCAGGCCGGTGGAGGTCGCCGCAGCCAGCACCTCGGTTGCGGAGGCGCCCTCTCAGCCGGCCTCCTCGGCGACCACGAGCTCCACCCCGCTGACGCTCAGCGTCCCGGCCCCGGCCGAGACGCCCCCTGCCCCGAGTGGCCCGGCGATGCCGCCACCATGGCCCGTCGAGGCCACAGCGCCTGCGGCGGCGGCGGCGGCGGCGACGACCTGGAGAGGTCTCGGGTGTCTCCAGAGCAGGGGCCTCCGCAGGCCCCTCTGCAAGCCTCTGGAGGTCCAAGAGGGGCCCAAACGGCACAAAGAAATCTTGATCCTCGACCCTCGACGACGCGGCGGCGGCGGTGGCGATGGCGGCTGCGGAGGCTGAGGCGTCTACGAGCCGCGCCGCGAGCACCACGACGAGCGCCACGACCACGGCGACCGTCCCCGTGATGAACTTGGCGGGGGGGGGCCGACTCGGCGACCGCCGTTTTACGCGTACCCCTGCTGACCCTCCGGCCCCACGATGGGCGAGAGTTGGGGCATGGTAGAAATACCAGCCTCCAGAAGCCAAGTTTTCCCATACCATACCAAAGGTTGCACCCACAGGGAGGCAGAGCAGGGGCACGTTTCAAACATCGATCACCTACTGAGGGCTTGCATCATCGTTCCTCGCTTCTCGCCCCTCGTGTCTTTTACTGTTTGGTTTGCTCTTTGCCCCCCGAAACTCGTCGCCACCAGCTGGGCGCGTCTCGACAAGCTGGCCAGGATGGACCCTGGGAGGGGACCGTGTCCCAGTTCTGAGCAGATTTTGCCCAGGCGCCGCCAACTCTAAAGTGTACAGTCGGATCTGGTTACAGCCAAGACGCTGAAATAAGGAACAGTTTGGGTTCGGAAGGGGCTCGATGTTCCTTAGGTTCCTCCAGTGCTGTTCCTCTTGCCCTCCTGGGGCACGGAGGCGCTTACAGGGCCAAGAAGGGGCTTCGTTCCTTATTTATCGTTCCATCTTTCAGCTGCCCGACTGTAGCAGGTGTAAGCTGTGATGAGTATCTGCGGCGCTCCTTTGTATCGATTGTCGTGTCCTCTTCCTGTCTGGAGCACGGGTTGTCCTCTGGAGAGGCGCGCGTCCTCTGCAATCAGTCCCGACTGCGTGTGCATTCTGTCCAAGCCTGGAGGGCGTAGAGTCCACAAAAATCGGAACGAGTCGGCGGCGCGCCCGGGGGGAAGTGATAGTGGGCATGCTTTTTCAGAAGGCGGCGGTGCTTCTCAGAAGCCCGCTGGTTTTCTGAACACCTGTCCTGGGCCCGTGAGGGACAACGATAGGGGGGGATGGGCTCCGGGGAGGGGATGCATCGACCCCCAATCGCCCATTGATCGCCGATATGGGTCGAATCAATTGCCACCCCTGCCCAGCAACGTGCGGATTCGCTATCGAGGTCCTATCACCGATCCATCGGCGATGAATCGTCGATTCCAGGTCGATGTTCCCCCCCCTGCACCAGTCTCCCTTATTGTTGCCCCCCAGACCACGAGCTCGGTACGATCGAAATGGGCACGGAAAGACTAATGACGAAGACGGACAGCAGTTCCTGTCCATTGTAAGCGAGACTCGCTGTCAGGGACGCCATGGGCGTTGTCAATGTCGGACACAAGGCCGCCTGCCCGACAGCGGCCGCTGTCGGTTCTGGACAGCGTTAGCGGTTGGGCCTCCTTCCGATGCGTCCCGCACGTTTGGCCTGCCAAGGAGTGGTCTTGGCCTGGACGGGTGCGGGCGTACGTCGGCGGCGAAGTCCGAGCCCTGCCCTCGCCGATGAACGATTCGGGCAACTCGATGGGCGGCGGGCCGTCGGGCGCGTGGCGAAATCCGAATCGTGCCCTCGCCTCCGCTCGGTCCGGGAGAGTCGATGGCTGACGGGGGTATGGTTCGGACGTCGCCACCTCACACGTTGCGCCTGGTCGGTTTCACACGCGCTGCCCCGGTCCAGCATCTCGAGAGCAGAAAGATGAGGGGCACGGGCGTTGTTCCCCTCCGTGCGACACGGACCTTGTTGAACCAGACCTTCTTGCCGATCCCGAGCTTCCCTCCCCTCCTCTTTCTTTTGTTCCTCGGCCTCCTTCTCTTCATCTCTTGGCTCCTCATCCTCCAGTTGCATCCCGACGGTTTTTGTTTTGTGTAAAAGCATTGGGCGTGACAATATCGGAGATTGGGGTGTGAGATCGCAGTGCAACGGAGAGCCTTCCACCGGGAGATCGGTTTCGGTTTCGTGTTCGTGTTGTGCGTGCGGGCGAGGCGAAGCTAAGTGGGCGCACGAGAGGAATGACCCCGCCGTCGCTAGGGCGATTCGGATGCAGTGGACCGCCCCTCCGCTCCCGATGGGCGCGCGGTGGCCTGGGGTGACCCACCGTGGTGTCCTGTGGTGTCTTGTTGGTGTCCTGTTGGTGTCCTGTTGGTGTCCCGTCGGTGTTCCTTCGGCGGTGGGCGGGCGGTGGCTGGGGGTGTCCCGCCTTGGTATCGATAGTGAAGTCGATACGTAGTGAGATCGATAATGAGATCGCTAGAATGGGGCACATAGTGAGAGCAAATTGCGACATTGGTTGTGAGATAGAAAGTGGGGACGATAGTCACATTGCATCGCAGCGCAACATCGTCATCCCGCGTTGTCGCTAACTCGAGGGCACTTACCAGCATCGTCATCATCACACCCATCGCATTTGCCGGCAGTTGGTTATGCCCCCCCCCACCCCCCAACCTCCTTATCGCCCGAAGGATGGTCGTATCGGTATACGGACACACACAGATATACGTGCTCGCTCCTTCAAAGTGGCGCTCCCGCTGCAGCGTTTGCGACACGTCATTCAGAATTGCGCTCTCGCCCCCGCGCGGGCCACGTTTTTGGATCTGATTCCTTTCTCGTCGTTGCCGCCCCCCCTCTGTTCTCCTCCGCCCTCCCCGGGTCCCTTGCTCCTCCGACTTTTGCCGCTCTTGCTGGCTGCTGATCCTCCTCCTCCTCCTCCTCCTTGTCCTCTTCCTCCTCGTCCTCCTCCTCCTCCGTATCTTCCCTTCTCCTCCTCCTCACTCGTCCTCGTCCGCCTCCTCCTCCTCGTCCGGTCCCTCCTCTGCCGATCCCTCCTCTTTCGTCATCCTCTTCCGTTGCCATGTTGGCTCGAGGTGTTGATGCGTCTTGGGCGGGCAGCCCATCTTGAAGGGGTTATCTTGGGCGCAGTGCCCAGGCGGACAGTCACACAGTCTCCCCATTTTACAGTCGGACCGAGGTATAAGATCGAGGTCGGTTCGGGGAGGGTGCCCTGATGATCTTCGTTTTTGTTGGATGTTCTTGTGTATTCTGGGGGAGGGTGCCCTCGAAGGTTCTTCAGTTTGGGCGGCTGCAGTAGGTCTCGTGTTCTTTCAGGACTTTCTTCTGTCCTGGGTCCTGCCGTACTTTTGTTCTCCCAATCAGCCTCGCTCGTGACGCTGTCTGCTGAGGATCTGGCCGCGATTGGTGGCACGGTCTCTGGACAGCTTGCCCCACTTGGATCCGATCTGCAGGCAGTCGCGAAGCATGTAAAGGACATGGATGACAAGTTCGAGTCCCAGGCCTCCGAGTGACGTCTCCAGCAAGAGAGTATGCGAGTCCAAGTTGAAGAAGGGGCACCCCGACTCCCTCACACCCATGGGCGGCGACTTTGAGACAGTCTGTGAGCTGGAGCCCCCCTGCCAAGCTGGTCACGACGGCCGAGCTTGACGCCAAGATCGGGAGCATCGAGGCCAAGATCCTCGACACCATCAAGACGCCCCTCGCTGCGGCAGCCTGTTCCCCGCCTGGGTCCACGAGGTCGCGTGCTTCTTTCGACCTCTGGAGTGGGTTACGTGGCAAGAGGGCCCGTGATGGTGTTGCGTTCTGTGGGCCGCCCGCTGGTGGTATTCTCAATGCTGGCTTCAGCATGCGTGATGACGGTGAGGCAGGTGATCGCTACAAGATATGGATCCGTGGGCTTCCGAGGCGCATCCTGTCGAGGGCCTTAAACCAGCATCTCTTGCTGGTCAAAGCCTCCGTTTTTGACCTTCTCGTGAGTGCTTACCCAAATCGCCAGAGCTACAAGCAATGCTACATGTCGGCAACTGGAACATGTACATTACCAGTGGTGGCCTTCTGTGGCCCGGTGGTTGCGAGGAGTCGCTTGCCGTCTCGTGCAAGAATATATTAAATCGAGTCTCCCAGATCCGCTCGCTGCATATACGTGTCTCTCTCTCTCTCTCTCCCTCCCTCTCTCTCGCTCATCCACAACCTCCGCGCTTGCGACGTGTTCGTCGTGCCCGTTCTCCCTCGCGCTTGGCAAGTCTATCCTCTGACTGATGCAGTTCGGCGGACCGAGCATACCGCCCCGCGGAGAGCAGCCCCCCCCCCTCACCCCCTCGCCACGCCCAGCTCGATCCTTCGGAGTACGTTGGATGTTGGGATTCGATTGGGGCCCCGCAGCATGGAGAATGCGCATCTGGTGCCGCTGCGCATCGGGCCGCCGTCCGTCCTTCGGAGCTCGGGGAGGTGATGGCCAGGCTCCACGGGCTGTTCCACTGAGTTGTTGATCGGGATGTTTTGTTTTTTTTCCCCGCTTCCCACGTCTTTCGATCGGGTGTCAGAAGAACGTGTTCATATTGTTGCATAGGCATGGTTGGCCCACGTAGGGTGGGTGGGCAGCCGGGTTTTTTCCCCCCCGCACTCTTGACCTCTTGCTGCCTTGCTCGTGCGCTGCACGGCACGCGCGTGGAACACCGCAGCCTTTTGGCCCAGAAGAGGACCTAGAGTCCGAAACGCGTCACCAGCTAAAAGTGGTTGAGATCGGTAATACACCAAGGAAAGCGCGACTGCCCATAAGCGTTGGAATCAGATGACTTCCCTAGCCCCCCACCTGGCTAACCCTGACGACGCGAGCTGCCTGCAGAGGAGAGCTTTCAAGTTCTTGACAGAAAAGCCCCCTTCCCCATTACACTTCCGGTTTTCTGGGGTGTGTTCGATTATTTTGGCCTGGTGCCCCCCGCTTCCCGAGGGTCGGTGATCGTGTCTATCTGAGTTTGCCCTTTGCTAACTGCAAACTCATGCCGTCGGATGGGAGAGCGTATTTGCGCACAGTTTCCAATGCTTGGGCCACCACCCCCAGGCTCAGGCAAGGGACTGATATTTGTCGGTTCGGGTGCTGCGCTGTCGGTGGCGGCCAGGAGGACATGTTTGTTCTTGGGCACGTCCCTCTTTCCCCTGCTTCCCTCTCTAGTCTGTCTCCTCCCGTCGTCTTCCCCTCCTTTGTCCCGACATCAAGTAATGTGGGTGGTAGATTTACCTCAGATGACGCCAGCAGAAACTCATTTTATCCAGCTGTCTGCGGCAAACCCCGCCGCCGCGCCTGTGCAACAACGCAGACGAGTAGTCTGTATTGGGGCGGGTCGAATCCCGACCTCGTCTTCGCACGTGCGGTATGAGGGGGGAGGAGGAGGAGGAGGAGGAGGAGGAGGAGGAGGAGGAGGAGGAGGAGGAGGAGGAGGACGAGGGAATGAGGGAAACCATGAGGATGAGGGGAAAAAGGCTTCTTGGGGCCTTCTTTGGGCCTTCTTGGGCTTCTTGGGGGCCTCATGGGAGCTTCCGGAAAACTTCCTGGGGCCTCGCGTGGCCTCCTGGGCCGTCTTAGGGGATTCACCGGCCCGTCTGACGCCTAAAGGGGCCGCCTTGGGGGCTTCACTAGGCCTCGTTGGTGCCCGCTTGTAGCTGTTCACGGCCGTCTTGGGGCGTTTTTGGGGGGCCTTTCGGGCGATCTGTGGGTCTGTTGGGGCCGATTTGGGAGGTTTTTTGTGCCTTTTTTGGGCGGTCCGAGTCCCGACGAATCTCTTCGAAACTTGAGGGGGACACTCGGTGTGGTTTCCTCGGGCTCTCCCGGAGGGCCTCTTGGAGACCTCTTGGGCTGTTTTGGTTTTTGTTAGATATGTTTCGAGGTTGTCTTGGGAGCTTCTTGAGCCGTCTTGGGCCATTTTGGCGTCATCGTAGCTGCCCTGAAAGCCTTCCTGGAGGCCATGAGGCCCCCAAGAAGGCCTCGACGCAGATCAAGCGGCCCCCCGAGACGGCCCAAGAGGTTCCCAAGAGGCCCTCCAGAAGAGCCCGAGGGGCCAACACCATTGATTGTCCGTAGTTTTTTTTTGTTGTGTAGGATATCCAGGCTTTGGCATGTTTGAGTTTCCGACCGCCCACGACAGCGCAAGAGGCCTCTTTGAGCCGTTTTGCTGCTCTCCTGTAGCGCTTCAAGACCGTATTGGGGCCCTCTTTGGGAGCCCGTTGGGCGATATTTGGCTCCTCCTGGGCCGACTTGGGGGCCTTGTTAGGCTGTTTTGGAGGCCTCTTGGAAACCTCTTGGGCCGTCTTCGGTGGTCAGAAGCCCGAATCGGCGAGAACCTCTGAATCTTGTTAAGGGCGATCAGTGCTTTTGGCCCCCTCAGGCTGGTCCCCCCCGCTTCCCGAGGGTCGGTGATCGTGTCTATCTGAGTTTGCCCTTTGCTAACTGCAAACTCATGCCGTCGGATGGGAGAGCGTATTTGCACACTGAGCCAGGGACTGATATTTGTCGGAGGACATGTTTGTTTTTGGGCATGTCCCTCTTTCCCCTGCTTCCCTCTCTAGTATGTCTCCTCCCGTCGTCTTTCCCTCCTTTGTCCCGACATCAAGTAATGTGGGTGGTAGACAGACTTACCTGAGATGACGCCAGCAGAAACTCATTTTATCCAGCTGCCTGCGGCAAACCCCGCCGCCGCGCCTGTGCAACAACGCAGCAGGTAGGAGGTCGAGTGCATGAAAAACGCAATTCCGACAAGTAGTCTGCATTGGGGCGGGTCGCAATCCCGACCTCGTCTTCGCCCGTGCGGTTGGGAGGAGGAGGAGGACGAGGAGGAGGAGGAGGAGGAAGCCATTCGGCCGAGGAGGGGCCGGGACCGTCGCGGATTCGCCCTCGTCGGTCGCCCTTTCGGTCGTGGCTCGCGCGCCGCGGAGCCATCACAGAAAAGTAAAGAGGCGCCGCAGCCGCGGCGGTCATCTGACTGTGATTCCCGCTCACTCCCCGTGCCCTTCTGCTCCTTCCCTGCTCCCCCGCTCTATCCCTCATGCCCGCCTTGTCGCTGCCATTTTGTTTCGAACTAGGGCCCTTGGCCTTAGAGCTACGCAGATAGATTGAGCAGCGCTCTCTTTCGCCAAAAGATCGTCGCGCCGCGCGCGCCATCCATATCACAGTGGTAGCTTGGAGCGAGGCTCGCTATTCCGGCCCGCGGGGCCGTATACCCAAGACGACGTCCGCGACGTCGCACTCCATATTGGAATCGAGGCCCAGCGGCCTCCTCGCGCTGTTGCTCAGCGCCTACGCCTACGCCAGCGTCAGCGACGCCAGCACCTACGCCAGCGTCAGCGACGCCAGCACCAACGCCAGCGTCAGCGACGCCAGCGACTACGCCTACTACGCCTACATCCCTGCCAACTCCAACGCCAGCGTCAGCGACGCCAGCTACTCCATCTTCTTTCCCACCCTCAGCAGCGACGACAGCTACTTCTCCTACGCCTGTGTCAGCGACGCGGCATACTTCCCCTACGACGGTGTCAGCGACGCCACATACTTCCTCTACGACGGTGTCAGCGACGCCATCTACTTCCTCTACGACGGTGTCAGCGACGCCACATACCTCTCCTACGACGGTGTCAGCGACGCCATCTACTTCTCTTACGACGGTGTCAGCGACGCCAGCTACTTCTCCTACGACGGTGTCACTCCCCACCACCTCATCGACACGGCAGGCGCCGACATCGATTACGGCATCGAGTTCAATTTCAATTTCATCTCGTGGTCTGGTATTCTTTGCAGTCCATTCATAGACAAGATGACGGAGTTCAATCACAACCAGTCAGTGATACCAAGCTGGAATGGAGATCCAGCGAAGTGGCGAGATTACGAGCAAGAAGTAAAATTGTGGAAGCTCAGTGAGAATCTGGAAGTGACCCAAAGTTTGGCATCGAAGCTAGTCCTGCGGCTGACGGGTACCGCAAGGTCGGCTGCCCTCAACATGACGGAGCAGGAACTCCACCCGCCGCCGGACGCCAATGTCGAGGATGCGAACGAGAAGAAGCGTGATCGCAACCAGAAGGGCACCGAGAATGTGCTGAAGCATCTCGAGACAAACCTAGGCCAGCAGAAGCCGGTGCAGAAGGGAGAGACGCTAGAGAAGTTCTTCGAGTCGACTCAGCACCATCGCCGCCGCGGAGAACGCATGACGGATTGGCTCGTGCGATTCGAAGCGGGACTACAACAACTACGCGAGAACGAGGTTGACCTCACCACGCTTGACGACGTGGCCGGCTTCACGGCCGAGCGCCGTGAGCGCGTCGTAGGCAACTTGCCGGACGAGCATTACTCATTTCAGCGCATCAGGGGCCTGCTGGTGCGCATGTTCCCCGATATCCATACATCGGAACGACACGCAAGCTTGCCGTCGCGATCGTGGCCGCAGCGAACAAACAGTAGTTGGCAGCGCTCACCGCCAAGCCGAGCACGTTCAGCCAACATCGCTGACGAGCCAGAGGACGAGCACGAGGGCTCGGAGGACGGCGACGACAATGACACGGAGGCAGACGTCCAGGACATCGTGCGCCAGGAGCTCGAGGCTTTCAGCGCCGAGCTGGAGCAGTCCAATTACGACCTCGGCGAGGTGTTCGACAGTGACGTCTCTGCCAAGGTGGAGGCTGCCGCGGCGGAGCTCGCCGCGATTCCCGAAGCCATGGCGACCATGCGGTCGGCCCGGGAGGCTATCAAGGGC